TTCATTTCCTTCTTCATTTCAGCCTGAGTATTCTTGTCAAATATTTCTAACTCTTTTCTGTCTGAATTCATTCAGAAGTTCATCCTTATCTTTGTTCAGTTCTTTGATTTCTTTGTGTGTTGTTTAAATTCACTGAATTCTTTTTTATCATGTTTGTAATTGTTCTTTTGAGTTCCTTGTGCTGCATTATTTCTAGGGGGTTCTCATTGTATTCCTCTAGAGGACTATTGGTATTTGTTGGGTATATGTTGTTGTGGTTTTTCATGTTATTATTTTTCTGTGTGATTTTGACATGTGAATTTCTTTTGTAGTTTCTGATTCTTGTGTGAGACTCAAGCCTTCAAGTTTAGGTCTGCTTCTTTTTGTTAAGTTCATGTGTCTTTGTGGTTTACTTTTTGGGCGTGAAAAGCTAGTTCGTCTTAGCTTCCGGTTCTCTCTTTTGCTTTTATATTGGAGTGGCCAGATGACTTTTGTCTTCAGGAGTTCCCACAGAGGCCCTAGTCGGATGAGGATCAGATGCTCTCAGGCTTTCTCCTAAGATCTGGATCCCACTAGGAACGATTTTGGCCTCAGGAATTTGGGGGTTGGACTGGCCTGGGAGACAGGCCCAGGAAAGTTGCTGGTCTAGGGCAGCTGGTAGCAGTGCCACCCAGATATGCAAAGGAAAACGGGAGTGGGAAGTGGCCCCAAGGGCTCCTGGGGACTGCACTGAGGAGCTGGGTTGGTCTGGATACAAAGTATCAAGAATAGGAAAGGTCAGCCCCGGCATCCAGGACAGAGGCTGGTGGGTAGTTGCAGGCCCAGGGAAGTAGAGGGAGGTGAGGGCAGGGCCAGGCCCATAGTGCTCCTGGGGACCCGAGACGTCACTGGGTTGGTCTGGATGGAAAGGATCAGGAAGCAGTGGTGCTTCCCCGGGTGTCTGGAGCGCGAAGACAAGGAGTGGGACCTGACCCAGGCTGGGAGGGTAGATGAGGCTGGGGGAGTCAAGGCCTGGAGGGTGCTATGGACTTACCCCAGTGAGAGGCCTGCGGGTTGTGCATGCCCAGGGAAGCAGAGGGAGGTGAGGGCGGGGCCAGGCCCAGAGTGCTCCTGGAGACCGTGAAGGAACTGGATTGGTCTGGATGGAAAGGATCAGGAAGCAGTGGTGGTTCCCCAGGTGTTTGGGGTGCCAAGACAAGGAATGGGACTGGACCCAGGCTAGGAAGAAAGACCGATGCAGGACATGGAAGCTGAATGAGGCTGGGGGAGTCAAGGTGTACAGGGCGTGATCGACTTACCCTGGAGAGAGGCCTGCGGGCAGTCTTGTTTTTTAAGATAGTTTTATGCCAGTGCTAATGGATGTTTGCCTTAATACAGGAACTACCAGGAAGCTATATGAGAAAAAGTTGTTGAAACTGAGGGAACAAGGACCAGAATCAAGGTCATCCACTCCTCTACCAACAATTTCTTCTTCAGCAGAAAATACAAGGCAGAACGGAAGCAATGACTCTGACAGATACAGTGACAATGAAGAAGGTAAATTTTAAACCAATATTGGGGAAAATATATGTAATTTAATTTTCCATCATCTAAAATAGACATTTAACTTTTGCTTCAAAACTTTTTGTAAAGGCAGAGTTCCTTTGTTCTTTTTTCCCTTATCATGTCCACAGAAGAGACTAAATTAATTTGATGTTTATCTTTCTAATTCTTTTTTATACTCATCAGTTTAGAACGTGCACTGGTTTTTTAAAATTCTACAGAAATGTCATCATAAATCTTTTATGTGCTTTTTTATTTCATGTTTTTAGATCTTATTGCATGTTTATGTTTATTCTTTATACTTAATATACAGTGTTAGAGTTTTTAAAATTTTTTAAAAATTTATTATTTTTATTTTTTATGTGTATGGGTGTTATGCCTGCATGTAGGTAAGTGCACCCATGTCGTGCAATGCCCACGGAGGACAGAAGAGGCTGTCGGATCCCCTGGAACTGGAGTTACAGGCAGTTGTTAGCTGCCATGTGGGTGCTGGGATTCGAACCTGGGTCTTCTGCAAGAACAGCCAGTGTTAACTGCTGAGCCATCTCTCCAGCCCAGTGTTAGCATTTAAATACAGCATTATTTTCTCTGTTTTCTGTTGTCGGGCATATAAGTTATTTAGAGTTTTTGCTTAGATAATCTGATTTTTAAAATTTCTGAGACTAGAGCAGAAAGTAAGTTCCTTTAAAAAATTTCTGCAGATGCAGAATTTGGTACTCATTATGAACTTTTATAACTTGTTTGTAAATATTTTAACCCAAATTGCTTATAGCTCATAAGCACTGCCTTCTTAGGCTCAGTCTACCAAATAGGTTGCTGAGAGTGACATAGAGTCCTTTTCCTCAACAGCATTATTTTAGCAAGGAGGCAAAGAATAAAATCAGCTCAAAAACAAGTAATACTTAAACTTCCTGCCTCTTTTGCCTCTACAGGAAAGAAGAAAGAACACAAGAAAGTGAAGTCCACTAGGGATTTTGTTCCTTTTTCTGAACTTCCATCTACTCCCTCTGGTGGATTTTTTCAGGGTATTTCTTTTCCTGAAATCTCCACCCGTCCTCCTTTGGGCAGGACTGAACTGCAGGCAGCTAAGAAAGTACATACTTCTAAGGGAGACCCACCTAGGGAGCCTCTTATTGCCACAGCCTTGCCCCGCAGGGGACAGATGCAGAAGTTAGCCTCTGGAGGGAATTTGTTTATCTCTTCCAAGTCTAGCCATGATAGATGTTTAGAGAGAAGTTCTTCGTCATCTTCTCAGCATGAACTCGCTGCCAGGTTGGTCTCTGCTGCAGCTTCTCCTTCACTGATAAAAGAAACTACTACCACTTACTGTAAAGACACAGTAGAAAATATTTACCGTGGAGGGAAAAGTAGAATTCAACCATCATGTTCTAAAGAGTCTAATGTTTCAGATCAGTCGATTCTCTCTAGTGAAAGAGAGGTACTAGAAGAGTCAAAGAGATCGCAGGTTATTTCTCCACCACTTGCTCAGGCAATCAGAGATTATGTCAATTCTCTGTTAGTCCAGGGTGGGGTAAGTAGTTTGCCTGGGACCTCTAATTCTCTACCCACCCTGAACATAGAAAACATATGTAAGAGAATTGACCAATCTTACAGTCAAGAATCTGAATCCCTGTCTCCTCCCCGGAAAATCCCTAGACTCATTGAGAAGCCAGTAGAGGAAAGGGATTCAGGTTCGTTTGTGGCATTTCAAAATATATCTGGATCTGAACATATGTCTTCTTTTGCCAAAACAGTTGTCTCTCGTTCTCTTAATACCTTAGGAATAGAAATGTCTCAGCAACCACAGCATGGCAAAATTGACACTTCAGAACCATCTTTTCCTTTACATGAATCTATTTTAAAAGTAATTGAAGAGGAATGGCAGCAAATTGATAGGCAGTTGCCTTCATTGGCATACAAATATCCAGTTTCTTCCAAAGAGGCAACGCGGATATTATCAGTTCCAAAAGTAGATGATGAAATCGTAGGGTTCATTTCTGAAGCAACACCACCAGCAAGGATTCAGGCAGCCACTGAGTCTTGTGATAAGCACTTGGACTTAGCTCTCTGTAGATCTTACGAAGCTGCAGCATCAGCACTGCAGATTGCAGCTCATACTGCCTTTGTAGCTAAAGCTATGCAGGCTGACATTAGTCGGGCTGCCCAGATTCTTAGCTCAGATCCTGATCATGCACATCAGGCACTTGAGATTCTGGGCAAAACTTACGATGCAGCTTCATATCTTTGTGATGCCGCATTTGATGAAGTGAAGATGTCTGCCCATACCATGGGATACTCTACTGTTGGTCGGCGTTATCTCTGGTTGAAAGATTGCAAAATTAATCCAGCTTCTAAGAGTAAGCTGACTGTTGCCCCCTTTAAAGGTGGAACATTATTTGGAGGGGAAGTACACAAAGTTATTAAAAAACGTGGAAATAAACACTAATAAAATTAAGAACAAAAATAGATGCTTATCTTTGAATTGGAGAACATCAGAACTTTTCTAGGCATTCGAGACATTTATGTCAAAGTTTTCTTTTAAGGCCTCTTTAGTCTCCTGATAAAGCAGATTTCAAGATGTTAAGCTTTACTCATCATATTACAGTATAAAAGGAATTCCCTATATATAATTGTGGGGTTTTGTCCTGCTTTGCACAAGTAGAAAGCCTAGTACAGTTTAGGCTTAGTAGAGCACATATATTTGTCTCATAGATACAAGTTTACAGCTTCCTATTTAACTTGCACTTTTACAACTATTCAAAATTTTAAAGAATTCTAGCAACTACAATATTAATAGAATCTTCACTCTTTTAGTAGTATCATGTACATACTTTATACCTAGGTTATAATCAAGCAATTTTACTCACTTGAAACATTAACCTTAATTCTCTTTTTTTTCTGCTCAAAAATTTTTACTTTGAAAGTCTAGTGCATGGAAAGGTCTTTCAAACATCCCACGACAATGGAAGATGTGCACAGCTCTTGCATTTTTGAAAGTCTGCTCTGCTTTCCACTGTTTATTTTCATTACACAACTCTGTCTTTTGCTTGAAGGCTTTTGTTGTCCATTCATTACATTGCAAGACAGCCTAAGGTACCCCTGTATCTTAATTCTTTTTGGTCCTCTTGGCTAAGTATCTTCACTTTCTGCAACTTTTCCACATTCTTATTTTCTTTCGTCTTCAATGTCCTTCATAATAATTCTAGATTGCTGTAGTTCCCAAGTGCCCGTACACAGACTTACTGATCCACAGACAAGTGTGCACAAGAATAGGGGAAGGAGCTATAGCTTAACAGAGAGAAGCAGGTGCTTAGCATGTACATGGCCCTGGGTTCAGTTCACCAACACCAAAAAAACTTAATGAAAGAATTTAAATCTTAATGAAAGAATTTAAGCCAATGATGGAGGGCGGGCTTTAAGAGAAAGGGCAGTGTACAGCCAATAATTCATGGGCCATACCAGTTTGTGAATCACACTTTCAGGAACACCGCTGTGGATTGTAGTAGGTCTTCTGATATGTTTCATGTTCACTCAGTATCACTATTTTGTCAGGTGAACAAGATACTAGAAAGATGGGGCTTTTTTATTTTTTTTTTCCCAGTACCTTTTAAATGTATTTCAATATAAATTGTATTTCATGGATAGTTTAACAGTTTGGATACTAAAAACATTTTCTAGAAGACAAGAAATTTTACTATATCCTTATGTCTGTCTGTATAAAGCAATGTATTATTTTGTTTTCATTTGTATGATTGTAAGGTAAGATAGCTTGACTGTAGAGGCATTGAAAATAGTAATCTTAAGCATAGCAGAATATGGTTCCCTGGGGACATGTCTACCATCACCATGTTCTAGACTACACATTCCATCTTTGCAGCTTTGTTATTTGTCTTCTGAAATGTACATGTACACATGTACCTATTAAGTGCTATGTGATTTTTTTTTTAATGTATCCTGTAGAATGCTTCTACAAATTCAATAAAGTTGTTAAATTTGAACAGTTTTGTGTGGTCTCCAGAAACGTGTTGTACGTGTGCTTTATTCTTGGAGTTTCAGCAGGTTGAATATTAGTAGATAAACATCCCCTTTCCATTTTATCATTGAAACTCGGGTGACATTCCTATGGTATAGTTCAAAGTTTTCCAATTGTCATATGGCTTTTCTACTATTTGAGGACCATGTTTTTAATTGGCTGTTAGAATCTATATTTGAACAAGGATTTAAAAAATTTGTAACAGATAGCTTATTCATCTAACTCCTGCTTCACTGATAGGGTGGGGTTTTTTTTTCCATCTGCTTTTTAAAGTTTGTTAGATTCTAAGTTAACAAGGAATAAAAGTAAATTTTGTAATGCTAAGGATTGTACCAAATATAGCTATATTAATAGATCCATTAATAGAAGTGTTGGCAGATGGGGGATAGAGTTGATGGCTTAGTTGTAGTAGATCTGTTTGAACTATTTTAGTTAATCATTTCGTTGGGGGTCTGGCAAACATTTGGACTGACTAGAATTAGTCTAGAAAGTTATACTGGAAAGTCAGCAGGACACAGCTTTCTTGATCACTCTAACATAACTGCATTGAGTTTGTACAAAATTAAGCTCTAAGAATTCACCCCATTCTTGTTTCTTTGCTAAGAAAGCAAGTTTTGGGTGGTAAAACTTTTCGCTTTAACAATTGGCTTACCACTTTTACTTCACTATGTTAAAGTGTCTACAAACATAGGAAAGTTAATTTTTAAAGTTTTTGTTGAGACATTCTTACAGTGTAGTCCAGGCTGGCCTTGAACTCTACATCCTCTTGCTTCTGCCTCCCCTGGTGCTGACTACAATACAGGTGTACACCACCATGATTGATGGGAAGTTGACTTTTTGAATGTATTTTAAAGATTTTAGGTCTTCAAATCATGGTAAAATCGAGACAGAATTGGAATATTTAGAGCTCTTAAAAATAATGTATCCATATCTTATTGGATTTATGACTATAATGTCTATAAGCAAAGTAATAAAACTAGTGGCTTATCTTCAAATAAATGTTATTTTTATTGTGAGGAAAAGGAAGAAAAGTGACTTGTGATTGTTTTTCTCTATTCCTCTTTATCTGAGATGTATCTGGGCTTTTGTAAGTATATCAAGAAAGAAGAGACAATTTTATGAATTTTTAAAATTTATTTTGGTGCTAGGGATTGAACCCAGTACCCCCCAGGCATGCTCTTTACACTGAGCTATATCCACTAACCAAGGAGAAACTTCTGTGTAACAGTATGATTTGCGTTAGTATCATTGGCAGTTACCATTTATCATGAAATGCCACACAGGCTCCCCACACCACTACCACTTTTAAATTCTCTGTAGCTATTCCTCTTCCACATGCCAAATTTTAATAAACTAACCTTTGCTGTATAGTAATAATGTGTTACATGGACAAAACAATGATAACTTCCACAGTGAAATTGGTTTTCAATTTCCTCCCTTGGAGGAAAGCCCTCCCGGAACAGTTTGAATTCACTTTTCTGTTTAAGAGTATTCTGAAGAGAAGGAACAGTAAGTAGGAAGATGTGATCAGATTATTAAACAGTGGGAAGAGAGAAAAATGGACTAAGATTATAAACGGGTTTTTTTGGTTGGGACAAATTTTACTCAACAGTTTTGCTTTATTGAGGTATTACCAATAAACAAATCTGTCTTGTGTACTAATGTGCCTAAAACTAGGGTTCCAAAGCAATATTAGGAAAGTATAACTTACACATTTGAGAGAATAATGGTTTCTCCAATGTTATTTCCAGACTCTAAAATAGAGCTCAAGCTTGAGAAGAGAGAACCTCTAAAGGGCAGAGCAAAGACTCCAGTAACACTCAAGCAAAGAAGAATTGAGCACAATCAGGTATCTCTAGTTTTATGATCACCATGTACAGGTATAAACCATCTGACCAGCACCCATCTGTTTTGTTTTGACTTTTGGTAAATAGTTGGCACATAGAGTCCAGCTTACTTAGTAAACTTAATTTCATTGTTAAATGGCATGAAAAATCTATACTTTGTGAGATTTGTCAGTAGTATAGCCTGTGGTGTTTATGCTAAGCATGGTCCAATTTTAGACACCCCCCCCCCTTTTTTTTTAAGTCTTATTTATTTTTATTTTATATGTATCAGTGTTCTGCCTGCATGACATGTGCATGCAATTCCCATAGAGGCTAGAAAAGGGTGTCAGATCCCCTGTTAGCTGCCATGTGGGTGCTGGGAACTGAACCTGGGTCCTCTGCAAGAGCAGTCAGTGCTCTTAACCACTGAGCCATCTCTCCAGCCCATCTTTGGTATTTTTGAGACAGTGTCTCATGTAGCCCTGGCTAACCTTAAACTTGATATGTAAATTAGACTGACTTTGAACTTCTGCCTCCCAAGCACCAGAATTGCAAATGTGTACCACCATGCCTGGCTCTTCTTTATTTCTTTTGGGGATGGGGGCGGTTGCATGTACACATGATCCTCCTACCTCATACTTAGGATTATAGGTGTGTACCACCACTCCTGGCCAAAAATGGTTTACCAGGTTACTGAGTGGAGGAATCTGAGCTGAGGAACAAAATAGTCAAAGGAGAATGTCACTTGAGTAGGTGGTAGGCAGAATTGGACAGTGGCGTTCCTACAGAAAGCTTAAAAGAAAGTGAAGAGTTTGCTTTCCATTTACCATTTTATTTGTTTAATTTCATGTCCTCCAGCTTTTAAATTGTTCTTGATTTTGTTGTTTTGCTTTTTGCTAGTGTATTTAGATCCCTGATACTTCATTTGTTTAAATGTCAATATTTTAGCATTTATCTCTAAAAGATGTCACTATCCCACCCAATAAAAATATAGTTGTAAAAAATAAATATATAGTAGTAAATTTTTAACTTTTTTGGTTTTTGGGGCCTTTTTTTGAGACAGGGTCTCCCTGTAGTCTCAGTTGGCTTGGAACTCACTATGTAGTCCAGGCTGGCCTTGAACTCACAGAGATCCACCCGCCTCTACCTCCCAAGTGCTGAGATTAAGGACATGTATCACCACGCCTGACTAATTTTTAACTTTTTAAATTTATTTTTGTTGTCTGCATTATGAGTGTTTTGCCTGCATGTATGTAGGTGCACCATGTGTGTGCAGTGCCTGTGGAGGCCAGAAGAGGTAGTCAGATCCCCCTGGAACTGGAGTTACAGATGGTTGTTAGTTGCCATGTGGGTTCTAGGAACCAAGCCTAAATTCTCTGGAAGAGCAGCCACTGCTCTTGACCCTTGAGCCATCTCTCCAGCCCAAAAGTAACAGTTTTTCAAGTTTGCAGAATGTCTCATTTATGATTGTTTTTTCAAATCATAGTCCAAATAAGAACCTTATTTAATTTCATTAATCTTTAAAAAATAGTCCACACTAATTCCCATTATAGCTGGATTTTTTTCTCCTGTACTTGGTGACAAAACTAGATTGGTACAGTATTTCATACATTCTGGCTTTGGCAGGCTGCTTTTGTTTAGCCTGTATATAAAGTTCCTTAATATTTTGTATATCTGGTAAACTGGGGACTAGACCTATCTCTGACAGTGCGATAGACCTTTTAGTGATGGTAGAACTATTCATATCAGGGGCTCAGCAGTTAAGAACACTGGTGTTGCAGAAGACCCAGGGCAGCTAACAACTGTCTGTAACTCCAGTCCCAGGGGATCCGATAGCCTCTTCTGTACTCCATGGGCATCACACGACACTGGTGCACTTACCTACATGCAGGCAATATACGCATACACATAATAAATAAAATATTCTTTAAAAAAGAAATATTCATATTGGTGCTGTTATAGAGTAACCTCTAGCTGTTGAGTACATGGAATGTTGCTAGTGTAGCTGAGAAACCACGTTTTTAATTCATTAAAATTTAAGTAGATATGTGAGACTAATAGACCTAAAGGGTTGGTCTAGGCTTCCATTCAGTTTCTTTGATGAGAATACTTCATAAGCTGGTTGTGTGTACTTACGGGCTCCCAGCACCTGGGAGGCAGACGCAGGTGGATCTCAGTGAGTTCAAGGCCAGCCTGGTCTACATAGCGAGTTACAGGTATGCCAGGGCTACATAGTGATAGGCCCTGTCTTTAAAAAAAAACTTCATAAATGATGTTGTAGCCTTCCTGTTGATCATTTCAGGAGGCACATGAGTGTCCTGATGATGCTAAAATTAATTAGTAATAGTTTAGGTGTTAAAAGGTTAATCCATCATGAAGCCTGTGTGACCCTTTAAAGGTTCTTACAGCTTTGGATGCTTATTGTCTAAAACTATGAAATAATAAAATGATGACTTTCCTCATTCTTTTATAAACTGTCTTTTGTCTTTTTGAGACAGGATTTCCCTGTAGCCTCAGCTGGCCTGGAACTCACTGTGTAGACCAGGCTGACCTTGATCTCATAGAAATCCACCTGCCTCTACCTCCCAAGTGTTGGGATTAATTTTATTTTGCTGGGCATGGTGGCACACGCCTTTAATCCCAGCACTTGGGAGGCAGAGGCAGGTGATCTCTGTGAGTTCGAGGCCAGCCTGGTCTACATAGTGAGTTCCAGGCCAGCTGGGGCTATAGGGAAACCCTGCCTCAAAAAGATTTTATGTGTATGAGGGTTTTGCCTCATGTATCACATTTGTGCAATGCCCATGGAGGCCAGAAGAGGACATCAGATCCTCCGGAACCAACAGACTCCTGCCAGAGTGCGTCATTGTGTGTACTGGGAACTGAGCACTGGTCCTCTGTAAGAGCAGCAAGTCCTCTTAACCCCTGAGACATCCCTCCAGCCCCAGTTGTGATTTTTTTATAAAGAACTTTCCCTCATCAGTTTCTTACCTTGAACTGAGTTACTACAAGAGAAGTAGGAGAAATGCTTCTTAAGCATTTCATGTGCCAATTTTCAAGCTAATGTGTTCCAAGTCTCTTTGAAAGGTGATGGGGTAATTTTTTTTTTTGAGATAGGGTCTCCCTGTAGCCCCAGCTGTCCTG